CCTTCTGTGTAAAGTGACAAGTGCTCTTTCTTTAAGTGACTGTACAACTGTGGAAGTAAAAAGGGATGCAAAAGTGCAACCTGACTTGAAATACATGTAATTATTCAGTAATAGTCTCTGAATCTTAGCATTGGGTAAACTAATCCTGTTCAACAATGCTCTGAACAGTTTTAATGGTTTAGGCTGAGAAGGTGGTGAAACTAGCAAACTGATGCTTAAGTTTGTAGTTTATGAAGCTATTTATAAACAAATGCCTCCAAGTGCTGGTTTCAAGGGACCAGCCAAGAATGGCACAACATTGTGCAGGTTTCTTTATAGCAGGAGGCTTTAGTTAACCTGGGGAAGTTATAATCTAAACAGGTAAGACAAGGGAAGGCTGAAATAGTTGGTAAACTTAGCATTACGTTTCTTATATTGATGGTGGTATGGTTTAATTAGTCCTGTGGCCAAATACCGATCTTCAGAAGTCTAAATCAAAACAGCTTTTTAGTAACCACTCTTATTTTATTAGTAGATCTTGCCGTGCTTCATGTGGCCAACCTGTCTGTTGGTATAAACTTCATTTCTTGGTCTGAAGCGCATTAACGGTAGGACTTGATGATCTTAAAGGTCTTTTTCAACCCAAATGACTCTGATTCTATGATCTTTCACTAGCACCACAAAGCTCCTATTATGCATGTGGCTTTGTGTAACCTGTTATAACTGTGGATTTTTTTATCAAGTCAATGGCTTAATCTTTATCTTTTAAAGCAGATGAAGTAATTACTTCTAATTTCTGAAAGATGAAAGGCTGCCTGAAAAGGTTTATGCTTTGACCTGGGCTTTCTCTAACACTTTATTTTGAAGCAGGTTGAACTGTGACCAGAAGAAACCCCAAAAAATCTTTCAGAAGGGTTTTTTTACAGCTCATGACTCCATACAAAGTTCAACATGGTGTTGTTAAACCTGAGGGTAGAATGACAGATTGAAATTAAATGGATTGACTGACTGCCACTGACTGGATAGCTTCTCTTTCTGTTAGAGGAGGGTAAATCTTGTTGTTTGGGTACAGTTTATTTCCCAGCAAGTAAATAACAATATGGGAGAGGAGGGAGTACTTACCATAGAATTAGATTACTTGTTTGGACGTTTATTCAGAGTGGGCTCTTCAGCAGATGTGTTAGGAGTCTTGGCCTTAAATTGACATTCCCTTAAACTGAAGGGAAGTGAATAATGCTTTAAAAGCAACTGCAGTCGTCACAGGTTCTTCTAGACACCACTACTTCTTTCGAGGTGGCTGGATTTCCCAGGACTTCCTTTTCTGTAAGGAACAGATGAGTTAATGTCAGTGTCTTGACTGCCTCAAGGATGCTTAATCTACAGAATGGGATGAAAATTCATCCCTCCCTACTCTGATGACTGAGGAGAGAGTTTCCATTTGTGTTAATTGATTATTTTTTTTAACTTCAAGGAACTGTTAGATGTGAACTTTCAATAATAGTGCGTAAACTGTTTCTTGGGCTGTAGAGGTGGAAATACAAGTAAACAAGCAGTTAGTTCCAGTTATTTCTCTTGTTTTATGAGAGTATTCCTGCTAAAATCTCACCATGCCCCTTTCTGAACCAGTGATATGATATTAGCCTGTTTCGTAGGCACTGGAACTTCTGCACTGGTACTGCCTGCATCAGTCCTGTGCCATGGTGCTTCAGCCTTGCCTGGTTCTGTACTGCCTGGCTATTCTGGGGCTGGAAGGGTCCATGCTCCCTCTTTTGCCACCAAAGAAGAGGTGCCTTGTGTGAAGCTTCTGGAATTTCACTGATACAATGTAGGGATTGTGTGGTGAGCAGACTCCTGCATTCAGAGGATTCATGTAGTGTTGGTACTCTAAAAGATTCAAGTAGCAGTTGTAACAGCTCTGCAGGGAAGTCAAGTACCTTAGACATTAAGAGCTGGGCTAGCTTTAGATGCAATCAAACTGTAAACTTGTATGCTGTTGGATGGAGTTTTCTTAATATTACACTTGTAATCAAAATTGGGTAATACTGTGTATGAAAGCTAACCTTGCAATTTCTGCTGGCTGATGTTGAGGTGGGATGGAGAAGGAAGGATCTAAATATTCTCTCCACTTACCTCTGTGATAAGCTTGCACTGAAACAAGGTGGTCAGTATTTTACCTAAAAGGCAGCTATTCCTTTGATATGACTGGGTAGAGTTGTGGTATTTGTATTGACAAGAGGGAGAAAGCTGCTATCTGTTCTTGGCTGTTAGTAAATAATCTTTTTATTGCAGTTACAAGCACAATGGACTTAGGGCCACTTAACAGGCAGCAGCACTAAGTTTGTGTTGCCAGAAAAATGTTTAACTTGGAAGCTTTGTTTTAGATAACACAGCAGTTACAACAATCTTGGGATGCTTTTTAAAGGAACACTCAAAGGTTAAAAACAGTCACAATTACACTGAAAAGTTGCTAAGGGTCACTTGGCTTCTCTAGAAAGCAGCTTATCTACTACTGTCAAAGCCAGACTACTCTTGGACTACGACAAAATACTTCTCTACAACTTTTTTTTACAACAAGCTGTGTTATTACTGAAACACTTAAAGTCCCCAAACTATCTTGTTGTGTGGTCGATTTGTAGCTTCTATGCCTTGGATGTCTGTGTCCAAGCAAGCTGAATTCTATTTTATCATCTGTAGAACATGTGGACCATAAGCAAAGAAAGCCTTTCAGCAACAGCTTCTGGAGTTCAGATGTTACCTGTTGTGTTTTCTCCCAGTTTTTCCACACTCCCATAGCAGGGAGCTCTGTTCGCTTCCCCTCTTACCTCTCTGGTGACTAAGAACTGAAAATCAAACTTGCAATCCTCTTCTGGTTTGGAATCTCTGGGGTAATGGCTGAATTCACTGGCCTCAACACAAATCTGTGTTTGTGCTGTACAGGGAGTATCTCTGAAAAGTAGGAGTTAGCACATCCCATTTCTGTACTAAGGAGTGTCCTAGGTGAGGAAGTTGATGTATAACGTAATATAGAAGATTACCAGAGGAAAATGTCTTCACTTAGTGTTTATTCCTGGAATGAATGCTTAAAGATGATGAATTTGCATTAGTATACCAAATGTATGTAGCAAACAGGTGTGAGTAAAATGCTCTGCATGGAAAAATACTACTGCTCGGGTGTTTGAAAATGCTGTCCTGAGGGCACTTCTTGATTGTTGGCATGTTTGTTCTTGTATGCAGTAGTCAATGAGAACTTAGCTTGATTTGTTGCTTTTCAGAATATCAAGTCATGACAAAAAGGAAAAATCTTCACAGTCAGTGTACCCCAAGGCAGGTTGCCCAGGCGGGTCATGGAATTGTCAACCTCAAAACACAGGGCATGTAAACAGGTTGCTTGGAGCAAACTGCTTAAAGGGACGGGTTTGGACTGGGTGACATCCAAAGGTCCTTTCCAGGCTAAGTAATCCTGTGGTGTGTTTGTGGGTTGACAGTCCCTTAGTCCCTAGTTAATTTTGTTTAGGGCAGCTAGTTTCCAATATAGCGCTCTAACTTCTGCTGTAGGCCTAGTATTTCCATCCAGTAGAACCTGATCGTGTGGTATGGCAGTTCCAGTATCTTTCCAGAGTAATGATGCCCAGCCAAATCTGGGACTCCTGGTAGGCCTGTTGCTTCTGCAATAATCGTAGAATCATAGAATGGTTAGGGTTGGAAGGGACCTCAAAGATCATCTAGTTCCAACCCCACTGCCACGGGCAGGGAAACCCTCCACTACACCAGGTTGCCCAAAGCCTCATCCAGCCTGGCCTTGAACACTTCCAGGGATGGGCCATCATCATAATGGGTACTGCTATAAATTGAGGCTGCTATAGCCACTTTCCATAGCAGTGTTTCCTGTGATGGTCTACTGTTCTTCTTGACACTCTGCTAGGGTATGACAGCTGTGAGGACACAAGTGTCGCTATCCTAGCATCTCCCTTTAGCCATTGTGTGTCTGGAGTACACATCTTTGTTTTTTTTCTCAGTGTGGGAATCCTGACTGGTGACACATCTTTCTGTATTGGTCACTTCTGCTTTTGTCCCCAGCGTGCTGTTCTTATATCTGCTGATCTGTGCTAATCTGTGTGGCAGCTGATGCTTGTGTTTGTCACAACTACTGTGTCCAGCTACTCCTCAAAAAAAAAAAGCAGTATTATTTTTAAGATGTCCCCAGCAATTGATTACTCCGTTTGCATGACACCCAAAGACTTGTTAACTAGTACTTGTTATTGAAGCTTACTCTTTTATGGCTTGACAACATCAGGAGAAGAATAACAACTGAGAATTTCTCAATTATCCTACAGTAAAGCAGGATTTGTTTCTTTTTTTTTTTTCAAGAGCAAATCAGATTTGCAGCATCAAAAGGCAGGAAGAGTATAAAATAAATACTAATGCCATGTCATAAGAATTTCTACTGAAAGATTTTGCAACTTGTTCCTGCCAGAATTTACTGTGTATTTCTGCTTTTTTCTTAGCCTACGTAGAGAGGAGATCAAAAGTCATCTTTCTGCTTGTTAGCAGATCTAAGATATAGCTCTGCTTCCAGGTTGAAACTAAGCTGCATCAACATTAAAGAAATATTTTAGAAAGGTATAAAGCCTTATAGCAAGAACAATAAAAGCCACTTAATTTCATGTTGTTTCAGAGAGTGGGGTTGTTTTTTTTGGAAACTACTCTAGATAGCAGTCATGTAGGGTGGATTTACAAATAAGAACTGCTTGTTCAGCTAGTAGCTGCTTTGAGAAACTTTTGGCACTTTTATTAATGGTACTGTTGTCACAGATAAAAGGTATTTGTTCTAATACCTCATTCCTACTCATACTTTAGACATCAGTGACGTGGTTTGTTTGCCAGTGCAATGAAATGGCCCATTCTTCAGGCTTGCTAGGCAGGGTTTTAATCTGGTCTTTCAGCACTAGTGAGATGCTTTACCTGCATGCTACCATGATGTCACCAGTGTTGTGGATGGTGACTGTGTTTCTTCTGTCTGCAGGTCTGATTGGTTGCCTGGCACTTCATCTGTGGCAAGCAGGACAATGGCTGCCAGCAAGAGCAAGAACCAGAGTTCCTTGGCCCTCCATAAAGTAATTATGGTTGGCAGTGGAGGTGTGGGCAAATCTGCACTCACTCTTCAATTTATGTATGATGAGGTAAGTAGCTTTTGGTTCAGCTTCCCGAAAGCATCAACAGATATGCTTAGTTCTCCTGTCCCACTAAAAAAGTTTAGTAAGCTGTAAGTAGCAAAAGATGTGGTGGCCTGACTGGCAGGAGAAGAATGTAAGAATCTGGGAAGGGTGCCCTCTGGGAACATCTTTGGCTAAAGGTGACAAAATTAAAGCTTATTAGTGAAAGAACAGCCTTCAAAAGACATGCAGTATGTGAATGTGCTTGTCTTTGAGTGTTCAGAGGCTGTTACCAGTTGGCATTGAACTTTAATTTTGTTGCAGTTTCTTTTATACCAGTTAAAGTTCAGGTCAGAAGTAAGCATTCCAGCTCATTCTGAGCTGGATGATAAAGTAGGCATGCTCATAGCATGAGTTCTTCCATACTGGTATATAGGAAGCTAGATCAGACAATCTAGGCTGCTATGTGAAGGAATAAATGATCCTATAGTCCCGAAGCTTTTATTTATAGACTGTCCACACGTACTGTGGTGATGTGAATGTCTGAACAGGTGGCCCTCCACATCAAACCATGACAGCATTAGTGAAGGCCAGTCAACTTAATCAGGCTCGTGGCACAGCCTTTTGTTGTACTTTGAGGCTGAGAGGAAGGAGGTGCAAAGGTAAGGAGCCCATGTTGGATGTGTGCTGTCAGTACAGAACTACAAGTTGAACTGGCGGTGGCTTTGTGTTGGTTGGAGCTTCAGATAGCTGTAACTGAAGCACACTTAAAGTGTTTTTTCTTGAAATTAGAGATCTAGATAATGCCACCAGGTTGCTGGTAGTTTATAGTGTATCTTTGTCCCTTAAATTGTGCTGAAATTGCTGAACAGTGAGTGTTCCATGTAGCAAGACTTGTTTCTCTTGATTAGGCGGACTTGGCTTTTTGATGTATTAAGTGCTTAAATAATTTGCTTTTTATAGTAAAACCAAAAAAAGTGATGGAACTTGGTAGCTAACTGAATTATGAGAAGGTTTTCAGGATTTTAACTGTCATTAAAGTGAAAGAATGATATGTACAAATACTGAGACCATTTGACAGTAATTCTAAACACTAATCCCTGTCTTGTCATCTTCAGTTTGTAGAAGACTATGAACCTACCAAGGCTGACAGCTATAGAAAGAAAGTAGTTCTGGATGGTGAAGAAGTTCAGATAGACATTCTGGACACAGCAGGACAGGAGGATTATGCAGCTATCAGAGATAACTATTTCCGCAGTGGGGAAGGATTTCTTCTAGTCTTCTCAATAACAGAGCATGAATCCTTTACAGCAACGGCAGAGTTTCGGTAAGTAGTTTCTCTCCGAGGCAGGGGGAAATATCTGGTTCTTATGTTGCTCTGACAACTAGTCTTAGGATAAAGAGCTGTAGCTTTTCTGTCCTTTACTATTTGGTCAATAGACATGGCACTCCAACCATTTTCCTCTCAGTAACTGTTAACTTAAACCACAGTATCTAGCCTCTGGTTCTAGTTGCCTTCATGCCTTCAACTTATGAGTACATTACGCCAGCAGCATCTTCAGGCAAGTAACAGATTCTTGGACTCCTAAAACATGCGTATTCAAGCCAATTTTCAGTTCTTGTGGATGTGAAGTTTAATTATCTTAGAGCAGTACTTCTGGAATTAAGTCTGCCTTTTGGCCAGGTTTCAGACACTGTGTTGCTTACTGCTAGAAGCAGGTGCTCTAAGGAAAGGAAGGATTAGCCTCCACTCTCAGGTATGGATTGGTGCCAAACAAGAGTTGGCGGCCAAGCAGTACTATTGTAGGCAGATGTATTCCTAGAAAGACGAACAGAAGTAGTAAATGCTTCCATTTTTGTTCTTGAGATTAGCAGTTCTAATGTAAAAATCAGCACCAGACTGAGCACAGAAACTGCTTGTGTAATGTAAAAGAAAAACAAGGGGTTTCATCTATTGTTCTGGTCTCAGAACTCATGTAGAGGGGTTCTTCAGGGCAGATGTTCTAACTCTGATTTGATAATAGCTGTTGCCTCAGTGTAGAAGGTAATCCAGAGATTCCTTAGGACGGCTGTACAACTTGAAGTAGAACTTGTCAAAACATAGGGAAAGTGTTAAGATTTCCTTATATTTGCCAGAATAAAAGCTCTTTATCAGTCTGGCTTATGTTCACTTTGCTTCAGTGGTACAAGGTTAACAGATACTGAATGGTAATGCAAATGCTGGTGCTAAGGTAGACACCTATTGCTAGGATTTTCTTAAAGCTATGGCAAACTCCCCTCACACTCTAAGCCAACATGACTTCACTAAGGCCAAATCATGCCTGAAAAACTTGGTGGCCCTCTATGAAGAGAAGAGTTACAGTGGGTGGATAAGGGAAGAGCCACTGACATTATCTACCTGGACTTGTCCAAAGCATTTGACACTGTCCCACATGACATCCTTGTCTCCATTGGAGAGACATGAATTTGAAGGATGGACCACTTGGTGGATAAGGAATTAGCTGGATCGTTTCACTCAGAGTTGCAGTCAACAGCTCAATCTTCAGGTGGAGACTAGTGACAAGTAGTGTTCCTCAGGGGTTGATATTGGGAAAGGCACTGTTTAACATTGTTGTTGGTGACATGGACAGTGGGATTGAGTGCACTCTCAGCAAGTTTGCGGACAACAGCAAGCTATGTGGAGCAGTCGACATGCTGGAGGGAAGGGATGCCATCCAGAGAGACCTTGATAGTCTGGAGAGGTGGGCCCATGCAAACCTCATGAAGCTCAACAAGGCCATCTGCAAGGTCCTGTACATGGGTCAGGACAATCCCAAGCACAAATACAGGCTGGGTGGAGAATGGACTGAGAGCAGCCCTGAGGGGAAGGACTTGGGCACGTTGAGAAGCTCAACATGATCTGGCAATGTGTGCTTACAGCCTAGAAAGCCAACCATGTCCTAGGTTGTATCCAAAGAAGTGTAGCCAGCAGGTTGAGGGAGGTGATTCTACCCCTCTACTTCACTCTCGTGAGACCCCACCTGGAATACTGTGTTCAGCTCTGGAGTTCCCAACTGAAGAAGGACATGGATCTGTTGGAGCGGATCCAGAGGAAGGCCACAAAGATGATCCAAGGGCTGGAACACCTATCCTATGAAGAAACACTGGAGAAGAGAAGGCTACGGGGAGACCTTAGAGCAGTCTTCCAGTATTTCTAGTACCTAAAGGGGGCCTACAGGAAAGCTGGAGAGGGACTTTTTGCAAGGCTGTAGTGATAGGACAAGGATCAATGACTTTAAACTGAAAGAGGGTGGATTATATTAGGTATAGGGAAGAACTGCTTCATTCTGAGGGTGCTGAGGCACTGGAACAGGTTGCCTAGAGGAGTTGTGGCTGCCTCATCCCTCGAAGTGTTGAAGGCCAGGTTGGATAAGGCTTTGAGCAACTTGGTCTAGGGGAAGGTGTCCCTGCCCGTGGCAGGGAGGTTGGAACTAGAGGATCTTTGAGGTCTCTTCCAATCCAAACCATTCTATGACTTTGGTCAAGGTTCTTAATATATTATGCTGTTCCAACAGTAATAGGAGACTGCATAATTTTTTAAGAGGTATAAAACTATTGTTCCTTTGTCTCATAATACTTCCGTGACTTCGCTAGACTTCAGAAGGCTACACAGTCGTAGGGCACACAAGCAAAGCTCTTCTGCTTAGTTTGCTCCAACTGGAGCACTTAGAAGAGCTAAACAGTTGTAGGACTGCAAAACTGAGTACTCAGACTGCTCCTACTATAAGATGAGGAAAAAGTCATATACCATTCAAAAAACAGGAAGAAAATTAGATACTTGAAGTACCCAGCCTGAGTTTTGGCTTGTGTGCTGAAGTGAAATGTAAGGTTAAACCCTAGGCTTAAGGCTTTGGGTGAAAAGGAGTAGGAGTGTTTATCTTGGCAGTTTGTGGGTTTTGCCAGACTTATGTAACTAGGGTAATTGTGTGTTGGTTCAAGATTCCAGTACAACAAAACAATGAAAAAGCAATGCTAGCCCTAAAGATGAGCAAGAAGGACCTAAAAGCTTTGAGGTAGAGGACCTCCTATTTTTATGGGTCAGAAGTAAACAAATAGTGAAACTAATTTAGTTGGGCTGACATGTAAGAACCGGCTCCTTGGAAAACTCTTCCCCAGGAACGAGGTGGGGAATAGGTGGTATGAGTCCAGCATCATGGGCTAAACTACAGATTGGTGGTATTGATCCTGTAACTTCCAGAATTCTTAAACTAAGAAAAAGTGGAATACTGAAGGAGCTGTGGGCTTGTCGTTAAACCCTAGCTCTCCTGCATTCAGTGTTTGCTTTAAGTGCCTCTATAATCTGAAAATGTGTGAAGGTACAGTTGAATGCAGCAGCAGAATGTCTGCTGCAGTGTTAACACTATCTTAGATTCTCACGTACTCTACGTACATTCAGTTATTTTGTGGACGGAAAGTGCAAGCATCTGAAGCAGTGTGGTAACTCAGTGGGATGAGAGGTGGTAGCACCATGCTCGTACGTAGTTTGGCTCTTGTTCATAACAAAATGAATCAATCTAAAAATAACTGTTGACTGGTACAGTTCTTCTAGAGTACGGGATGGACAGCAGCATGTGTCAGTCTGGTTTCATCTCATGTTTTACTCCAATAATAGCATAGACTTTGAGGCTGACCTGCAGCATCGCACTGACTCCTTTCCTTGATGCTGAGAGGTCCTCTTACAATGACAAGAGATAGCTAGGTTAATGTGATGGTTCAAATGTTTTCTTGGAGTCTTTGAAGGAGGAAGGTGGCTAGCATTTTAGTTCAGCACTATTAAGTAACTCTCTCCTTTGTGTAAAGTTTAGGTAGCTATTAAGAATGGTCTCTGCCAGCTACTTAGACTGTTCTCAACCTACTGCTTTGTCAAAGCCATGTTGTTGCCCAGACCTATATTGAGGTGGGATGTAGATTGGAAATTGAAGATGGTTACTGAATGCCAAGGTACAAGTGCCATGTTTGCCAAGTTTCACGCTTTTCCTCATTCATCTGTGAACTCCTGTTGTGAGTTGCTCTTCTGTCATACAGCTCTTCTTTATTAGAGCCTGGGTAGTAAACTTATTAACTAAATGGTAAAAATGCCTTCCTGGATGTGTGAGGCTTTTATTAGCATAAAGCCCATAGCATTAGTATGTTAAACTTGGAATAATTTTACGTGTGTGTTGGGAAATGTACTGTTAAATAATGTTGTAAACACTATTAATATGCAGACCACTTGATCCACTCCTGATAAGGGTGGGTTTTTTTGTTGCTACTACTAACACAGCTATTTTTATTTTGAATACCTGATGCATTAGGGAACAGATCCTGCGTGTGAAGGCTGAAGAGGATAAAATCCCTTTACTAGTAGTGGGAAACAAATCTGACTTGGAAGAGCGCAGACAAGTGCCTGTAGAAGAGGCTAGAAGTAAGGCAGAGGAGTGGGGCGTGCAGTATGTAGAAACCTCTGCCAAAACTAGAGCGAATGTAGATAAGGTAAGACAAATGACATATGCTCAATTAGAGTCTTACTACTTGTTTAGTAGCTGAGTGAATAATACTTGGCTCTTCTGGGACAGAAGCAAATCCGCAGGTGGGCTTCTGAAAGTCTAGATTATCTAAAATAAATGAATGTACTGGAATGTGTACACTTAAGCAGATACCTAGCTTATAGAAGCCAGAGACCTGATACAAGTTTGCTATTGCCTTGTTTTAACTGTTTGTACCTGAACCAATAGCTTTTACAAAGTACATTGGGTAAATGGGTTTAAGGATTCCTGGAAATAGAATCGTGGAATCACAGAATAGTTTGGATTGGAAGGAACCTTTAAAGATCATCTAGTCCAACCCCTCTGCAATAAGTAGGGACATCTTCAATTAGATCAGGTTGCTCAGAGCCCTGTCCAATCTGACTTTGAATGTTTCCAGGGATCTACCACCTGTCTAGGCAACCTGTTCCCAGTGTTTCACTGCCCTCATTGTAAAAAAATTTCTTCCGTATATCTAGTCTAAACCTACCCTCTGGTAGTTTAAAACTATTACCTTTGTCCTATTGCAACAGGCACTGCTGAAATGTCTGTCCCCACTTTTCTTGGAGGCCCTCTTTAGGTCCTGAATGGCTGCAATAACGCTGTCCTGCAGCCTTCTCTTCTCCATGCTGAACAACTCCAGCTCTCTTGGCCTTTCCTCATAGGAGAGGTATTCCATCTCTCTGATCATTTTTGTGAGCCTCCTCAGGACCTGCTCCAACAGGTCCATGTCTTTCCTGTGCTGAGGACTCCAGAGATGGACACAGTACTCCAGGTGGAGTCTCACCAGAGTAGAGGGGAAGAATCACCTCCCTCAACCTGCTGGCCATGCTTCTTTTGATGCAGCCCAGGACATGGTTGGCCTTCTGGGCTATGGGCACACATTGCTGGCTCCTGTCCAGCTTTTCATCCACCAGTACCCTCAAGTCCTCTTCAGCAGGGCTGCTCTCAATCCCTTCATCTCCCAACCTGTATTGATACCAAGGGTTGCCCTGACTCAGGTGCAGGACCTTGCACTTGACCTTGTTGAACTTCATGAATTTCACATGGGCCCACTCTTGAGCTTGTCCAGGTCTCTCTGGATGGCATCCTGTCCCTCAGGCACTTCAACTGCATCACTCAGCTTGACGTTGTCAGCAAACTTGCTGAGGGTGTGCTTAATCCCACTATGTCATTGATGAAGATATTAAACAGTTCTGGTCCCAATATGGACCCCTGAGGGACACCAGTCATCACCAGTCTCAATCTGGACATTGAGCCGTTGATGACTACCCTCTGTATGTGACCATCCAATGAATTCCTCACCTACTGAACAGTCTACCTATCAAATCCCTGTCTCTCCAATTTAGAGAGAAGGATGTTGCGGGTGGGGCAGAGGGGGGAAGACGATGACTGTGTCAAAGGCCTTATGGAAGCCTAGAAGGCCACTAGGTTAGTCAGACAGGACTTACCCTTGGTGGAGCCATGCTGGCTGTCTCAAATCACCTCCTTCTATGTTATTTTGTTTATAGGCTGTGTCCTATTATTATAACAGCAATAAATAGCAAGCTCTAGACACTTAAATTGTTCCTTTTCCCTACAAAGCTACATATGGTGTAGCTAATGTTGAAGACTTCATTCTTGTTTTCTGCCAAGACTACTGTGAATTGTGTAAGAACTCTTCTTGCTGTCTCCCTGTCCTGTTTCGACTTGTCCGTGCTGGTCTAGGACAGTCATTCTCAGCATGTTTCTGCTGCTGGCTTCTTGCATAAACAGTGGTGGTGGTGGGTTATTCCAGAAGAGAGGTAAGTTACAAGTATGGAGTGTTCATCCAGTAGGGAAATACCAGTTTCGAGCCTTCCCTTCATTCCGTGTGTACTGGGAGTTTCTTGAAGAAAAGGGTGCTTTTTGACTTCACCAATCCACAGAGATGATCTGAAATTACTGTTGGGCCCCCTAAGGACTCCAAAGGTGTGGCTTGGTAATTTGCATTTGTTTAAAGATTACAAGTTGTAAGCATCTTTCTCTTTGAACAAAGAACATTTGCAGCTAGTTGTACTCCAAGTTCTTGTAGATAGCTTTCTGTTCTACTAATCTATGTTAGTAAACTAATGGAAATGCTATTGGTGCATAAGTTATCTAGTAGGAACTGTTTCTCTCATTCTTGGTTAAAAGTGTTTATGAAACTCTTGAATTGAGGCCTTTTGGTTTTAAAGGACATAGCATAATTTAAATTTGGTAAAGAACCATTTTGACTTGTGGAATGTTACAAGGAAGTCAGACTGTCAGATGTATAAACTGGGTGATGTAGTAAAACATGAATACCTAGACTTGCTTTTGCCCATGCGCTGTCTCATGTGACTAGCAAATGCCTAGCCTGTGTTATACTTAGACTAGCTTTCTGATCAGTTGGGATTAATGATAGTCATGATATTCTAGACTTACTCTCACAGGTCTTCTAGCTAGCTTGTGTGACATGCTGGTTATCGTTTATATAAGCACGGTTTTGTGTATGTTAAGACAAGTTATCCTCCATTGTGATGATTGTGCATTGGCACTGTAGTAGAATAAGTAAAATCTTAAAAGGATTTTGAGTGGTAAACTACTCTAGTTCTGATCATCAGTGTGGTCTTGTTTCCCAGTATCAAAGACCTGTGTAGTTCCCCTTTAAAAAAAAAAAGCTTAACTCTGTAGAGTGACGCTAAACTCTCATTCTGTAATCCTAAAAATCACTTTCCCAATAACTCACTACAGTAAAACAGCTGTTATGTCTTAAGTGGTACGTACCTATACATCGGGCATACAGGAGTGAAATCAGCTAAAATTTTGGAGAAAACATCAGAGTAATGACTTTCTCTGAATCTTTCTTATAACATAGTCTGAGAATTTTCTGTGCCTGACACTGACTTGAATGCTGCAGCTTTTAAATTATAAAACAGGCAGAGTACTACCCAGCAGAGAGTGTGCTTGTAACTACATGGAAGGGATGGGACTAAATGCTTGCACAGCTAACGAGTGATTTGCCTGGAAAAGTTTGCTAGGCACAGGCAAATGTTCTCATGAACTCTGGATGCTACTTTTGTGCAAGACTGATACTCAATAAAAAGCTCTTAAAACAGAGCCGTTGAATGATTTGGCAGCCAGGTGAGATTATCCTACTTTCCACTGCTTGACATGCTACATAATTCTGATGTTGAGTTTATCACTGAGACCTGTGTCTAGACTCACTTCTGCTACATTAGCTACAGTGTGGTGCTGCATCTTTATTAGCTGCTGAATACAGTGGTTTTTGTCTGCTTTCTGGTTGCAGATCTCGTTTAATCTTTCTTTATTTTTCCCTTCTAGGTATTCTTTGATTTAATGAGAGAAATCAGAGCAAAGAAGATGTCAGAAAACAAAGACAAGAATGGCAAGAAAAGTGGCAAGAACAAGAAAAGCTTTAAAGAAAGATGTTGCTTACTGTGACACTTGGAACTGTAAAATCTAACTACAGGTGGCATGGATAAGATACCACTAAGGATATAGGGCTGGATTCATGAAAGGAAGTCTGTATTGGCTCCCTTATCTTTTGCTTTGCATATCACACCTTCAAAATGTGAAAACAGAACTTTGAAACCATTTCTGGTATCCAACAAAACCTATGCCTACTTAAACTGAAATGGGCTCTGTCTTCCTATGTCTTTCAAAACTAGAGACAGTTTCAGAACTACAATCCTTCTGCTTGGTTATACAAAGTACTTTCGTATTAACTTCCTAGTTTACTCTAATGTTTATCTGAATATGTTTCTCTTGAACCTCTACTGGCCTTAACAAGCACAGCTGTTCAGGTTCAAAGATGTTTTTTTTTTTTCCACTGTTGCTGCCCTCCTCCATGTTGCAAACTGCAGAAAAGCTAGATGATATCTGGTAAAGGGTTTGAGTCTCCATCTTCTGTTAGTTGTCCCTGATATTTCTTACATTGAAGTCTGCTGGCTTCTTCCCCATGCTCCATGTAAGAAATAGCAACTGACATTTGAGAGTCAACTCAAAACAAACTTTATTCCATGTTCTGTTTAGTCAATACAGCATTCATGAATCAAGCCTATCGGCTCAATTGAGACTTATTTAGGCAATACAAAAATTGATATTTAAATACCGGCTGGGTGCATTCCCCACTGGTCTATCTTCTCATCCTTAAATTAGTGGTATGGGGTGAGAAAATAACTGTAAGCCTTTCTTCAAAGGAATAACATTATCACCATCCCCTTGAAATTCTGTCCTGGGTTTCTTCCATGTATTGTGGTTATTCTCAATTAAACTCCCTCTGCATCCATCATTCTTCCCCTCCCTGGTACTGGAATAGTAAAAATCAAAGTCGTGATTTCATTGGTTTTGTTTATATTGGAACACTTGTGATCATGTTGGAGAAGTGGGAACATCTGCATCTGTTTCTTGCCTTGCTGAAGATGAAGACTTTCAGTAAGGATGGGTCACATCACACAATCATGACTTGGAATAGGTGAGGCATACATGCTACCTCTCTATGATTAGCTGGCTAGTGAGTTGTATGGTGTCAAAAAGCAAATGAAGTTAAGCAGTTGCCATGTCTGTTACTCACTGTTAACTTTATATGTACTGTTTCTGATGCACAGCAACCTAGCACATGGAGATGCATGTTGAGTTTTGCTGTCCGTGATGGAATGGTGGTCACGTACTGATCAACAAAAACCAGCCTAGAAATGGAAGAAAAGTCATTGCTTAGCAGGTCCTCTTGTCAGCTGACTGAACTGAGCTTTCTGATGCAGTTTAAGTGCAGTTGCCAAAAAAAAATACTTCTGTCACTGTTGTGGAATGTAACTGTCTCTTCTGATTATGGAATCTCTTAATGATTTATGGCTGTCCTCTATTTTGAAGGAGTAGAGAGACTTAAAGCAGTGACTGTATCTTGCCTGTTAACTGAAAGCTTAAAACACAGTTACTTGGTGAAAGGAATATGCTATGTGGCTGTTCAATGAAGCACGCTGCAGCACTAAATTAATGAATATTGCTTCTTTTTGAGGTGAAGGGGTAGCTAATACTGTTCAGTACTTAGTATTGTACTTTGAGGTTGAAAAAACATTTTTTAACATGTACTAGATTGCTCTTGTGCATTCCACTTCTGAACTTTGAAAAAAGTAAGATGTGTTAGATATCAGAACCTCTGTTGATATGAGGTTTCACAGGGACTTATCGCAAACTCATTGTCTTCCATAACTAGTTCAACTTGTCAGGCAACTCATTGGATTGGGGAAACTGTACTAAATAAAAGGTGCTGTAATCTTCATTCTTGTCAAGTTAAATTCCTTCTCCGTTAATGTTACCTTGTATGTGCAGAAAGAATGATTAACCAATTCTGGAAATATTTATCTTTGAACAGAGTAATTGGTATTAGAAAGCAAATTGACAATACAGCTTTGAAGCAGAGGCTGGAAGCCTGCTGGCTTATGGAACTTGTCATTTGAGCTGTGTCACCTATGTCTAAAGCCGAAGCATCTAATGGGACACTTGAAGCTGTAACACTTCACTAACAAAGTTTCCTCTTGAGCTTCCATGGATGAAGCCCATTTTGAGTGCACGTTGTGCATACAGCAAATGAACACCTACTTCTGGAGGAATGCAACTCACTTAAGTGTCATTTTAGTTGAGACCTAAAGGTTAAGTCCTTAATTAACCTAAAGGATAAACAACAGTTGAGTTCACATTACAAGCTTATCTAGGTCAAGCCCCTCTGAGGCGGATTGTAAAATGTGGCTAACAAAACAGAATAAGCTTTCCTTGCTATATGAATAACGAACTCAGCAAAGCTCACAATGAGCAGCTCAGCTGTATTGGCTCAAGAGACTTGCATGCTTTGACCTTTGCTCTCTTTAAGATTAACGTACCTGACAGTATTTGATAGGACAGATGAATTTCTACTCGCAACAGTGAGTCTGCCACTGCTGTTCTTACAGTCCCTGTGCTGTTCTCACTGAGGTTTGGTGTTTGTTTTTTCCCCTCAACTGATAAAGTTCCACCACTGAGATGGACTTACTTGAAGGTGCTTCCTGTTTCATGGCTTGATACTGCATCTCTTCAGTGTTGTGTGCTTGTCACCTTTTCCAGAAAGACTAGGCCTGGAGACTAAGTACAGCAGCTTTTCAGTATTCTTCTATACTTGTGGCAAACTTCAGTTTAACTTTCCAGTCACAGCTGAAAACATGGTAGCCAAGGTAGCTGCCTTGTTTACTTCGTAACAGTGGGCAACAAGCATTTTGGCTTGTACCAGGAAGGTAATAAAACTGCTCCCTGGACTGGAATCCTATTGCCTCCACCTCATGGAGGAAGTGCCTGAATGCATCCCCTTCTAAACAGGGGCAATACAATTTGAGAGTCCTTGCATGACTTCCAGGTATGCTTCACTGGACCTCAATGGACATCAACATCAGGTGGGTTGGCTACAGTGAGTAAAAAACGGCACAGAGAAATGCTTCCTTTGGACTTGAGGGTTTTCTGTGAGTAGAGTAAACTGTGCTTTGGCTTCTAATCTAAATGAGTACTTGCAGATCAGGTACATCAAAGGACTTTGGCAAGAGGGTGTGTGCGTGGCTGCCTGAGGCACCTGAAGGCTGTATTGAAGCTGGTATATTCTAGCAGCCTTTGCATGTTAGGTAATTAAAGACTTCTCTTCATCAGTATAACGTGCTGTTAAATCTTTCTGGAGCATGGCTGTAGGCAAGTAACTGGATATTTGAAGCTGGAGGTCATGCAAGACTTGACTATGCACTTGCACTTAAGCATTCAAATATTATTCTTGTGTAATGGCTGAACATATAGTCAGGGAGCTGTTTACTGCAGTATGCAATCTTCCATATGTGGCTTAGCTGTGGATATTGAAGTGCTCCAGTCTTCCCTCTGATTTGAGAAAACATGTGTGAGACAAGCCCCCATTATAACGGGGCCTAAGTCGTTATATGAAATTGCAGTTCAAAAAGCAGGTTAAACTCCAGGAGTGCAAAGGCATACTTGACTCCTCTTTTTTTTGAGGAGCATCTCTCCAGGTGAGAGTATAGATGCAGCATGAAGTATGTCTTCAATAACCTGTGCCATATGTGTTTTATACGGACTAATATGCCTTTACTACAATTCCTAGGTGAACATTTGGCTTGATGAAGAGAAAGATGTATGCATATGTTTACTGGGCATTAAACTTCAGTAAGATGTCAATAGCCATCTGAAGTTCTAGTTGAATCCTATATGACTCATGTAACACTGAAGAATACTTGAAGTCTAAGGCACAAAGCTGCAACCTTCAATGTAGAAAGAGGTGGGGGGAAATGCATCTAACTAAATGCTCACAAAATCTTTTTTTAAAGCATTAACGCAGTACTTGGGGCTGACAGGTCTATCAATTTTTGCTAAGAGGATACTGTTTATTAATTCAACTCAGAGCTTATGTAGACAGAAGCTTTCTTTAATTGCTGTAAGCATATGTTGTGATGTTCACCTCTTGATGACTTTATAGTTGAGAGAAGGAGGGAAGAGGAACAAAAAAAGCTATAATTTTCACCGTAATCTCCACATTTCATGGGAGTGGCAGGTGTTCCTCTTGGGAGGCGAAGGTGTTAGAGATAACACCAAGAAAGAGGTTTAGTGTAGAGGAAGTGATTGTGATTGCAAGATTTAATAAAACTGCCTCTAAACTATGTACACTATACTATACAATGTAAATTTGTATTTTTTCTTACATAGCTTCAGAGCTTTGTCTCTAACTGGCACAAACATTTTCAATGTCTATAAAACTGGTCACTTTTCATTATCATGCTAATACAACTGATTTGTATTGCTATTGATAATAAAAAGAAAAACAGGCATGATATTTGTTCGTTATTGATTTTTACACCACTCTAAAAGCATGTCTAATCCCCAAATTCCTGAACCAGGCAACTGCTGATTTTTGGTGTCTGGAACTAACCTTTGTGTCTGATCTGTAACATGATTATGTTAGATTGTGGGAAGGGAGAGGAGGCAGAGGTGGCTGAGGTCCCCATTATTGGTTTTCCTGAAACAATCTGCATATGTTTCAGGACTGAACTGAAACTGAGTAGTTTGATTCATAGTTAATTTTCCACAACCTAGTTGGATCAGACAGCTTGTATCAACTGTGTAAATGACAGAGTTGCTTTCCTCTTTCTTCAGTCAGTCTTGTGGCTCAAATAACTGGCTCAGAATAAGCAACATTATGTGGAAATATTGATCCTTAGTCTCCTGAGTGTGCCAGAGCCCATTCTCAGTGTTGATTTGCAATGAACAAACTGTAGCAGAGAAGCTGAGATGTCTCTGAGACAGGATGGTTCAGGACAGACTCACTGCACTGTTATTTATGCCACTTAATTTGGAGTGGCATAGGCATGGGCTTCATAGTAAACTTTTGGTGCAGTTTCTGCTGCCACTGCCATACAAGTTGGAAGCAGAGCATCCCCTAGCTGATGACTTCTGGCCAAGGATTACAGCAATTTACATAATCTTGTTTACATGGTGCTTTTGTGGTGTTTGCCCTGTGTTTCAGATTGCCGTGGTGGTTTATGTAGCTCTCCTTTCCAGTGAAGTATTTTTTTTTAAATATTCTGCAGCAGAGGATAGCATGAAAAGTGTTGTGTAAGAGGCGGAAGAGGGTTCTGAGCACAGCTGTATTACATAGCTGTGCCCAAAGCCTAGAATGGCACCTTTTTCTGAAGATACTCCGTGGATGCTTGTGAGGAACAGGCCTTTCTTAAATTGCAGCAGGATTAGGCTGGAGAATGATTGCACATACGTAGCTTGGCTTCTGCCTTCGTGCTTGCCTGTGTTCTGCCCCAACCAGAACACTTAACTAGTGTGGTTTCTTCCCGTGTGCCAAATGCTCGGTGGGTTCCTGGGATGGTACGGGCACCTCTTCCTGAGAACTGTTGGCTCCATCTTGTGGCTTTCAGAGTTAGAAGCTCTA